GCATATAACAGAATAGAAAGAATAAGCTTAGATACATGCTTGTGTGCAGTGTGTACTTACATGGTTCTCTCTAAGTGGTAGATTACAGATGGGTTTTATTCTCTAATATTGATTTATTTTAGTTTCCTAAAATGTATCACTTTTGTAATTAGAAAATGTCTTGAAACATTTGAAAAAGTTTCAAGAGTGAATGTATCATGAGTGTAGTTAGGATAAGTTTTTTTTTTTAATAAACAATCTTTTAATGATAGTCCACTACCATCAAGCTCCCTTCATCCCCTCTGTGCCCTTTTGGCTAAGGCACACAGGTGGAATTACAGAGGACAAGAAGCTTGCACGCTAAGCCTCAGGCTCCTCGTTTCCACTCTGGTCTCTGAATACACAGAGTGAGACCACCACGTGTCATCTGCCATCACTGTTACTGTTTTGTTGCATGGAGTTTCTTCACAACTTGGACTCTTCTGGCTTCCTGGTGAGCTGTGTGAAGTGAAGGAACTGACATTCTACACTAGCAGATGCTTCTCTGGGAAATTATTCTGGATGTCATCCACCTTAGCACATGAAGTCTCCTTCAAAAACACCAGCAGAAGAGAAGTTGCTCTCTGACCATTGCTCTCCAACCATAGGCTTAGGGAAAGCTGAGCCTGTCCTGCTTGTGCAGAACAGGCATATATGTTCCTAGCTAATGAACCCTATACATGCTTGCTTAGACTGCCAGGAGGCATAGCGTTGGATTTGTCACTTACCTCTGGCGTGTGTATGTGATTTTCTGCTGTCTGTCTTGGTGTATTCACCTGGTGCCTGTTTTGTTCATTGCTGTTCCTTACCCTGACTTTCCTTCATCACAATCTCTCCTTCCCTCTCTTACTTCCTGCCTGCTTCTATCCCTCCCTCCCCTCCCCTCTTCTCCTCTCTTCTTTCTCACTCATCTCTCTCTTAACCCCATCTCTCTCCACTCTGTCTCCCTCCCTGTCTCTTTCCCTCCTTCTTCCCTTTTGTGCCCCTCTTCCTCTGTCTCTCTCCTTCTCTTTCTCCCATGCACACTTAATTCTTGTTTGCATTACCTTTCTCTGGCACCTATTTTTATAACACTTCCTCATGTCAGTTATAAGAAGAGGCAAAGGTATCCATCAATAGGGGTGAAATGAGACCATAGTAGAGTCCACCCTTCTCCAATCAAGTTTTGGAGAGCAGTGTTCCAAAAAGACAGATTCTGAGTTTTCTCTTTCTTTGAGGGTATTTCTACTGACCTAATACTTTATCAGGAAGAACCTCAGCAGATTTAAGGCTTTAGAATCACACAGGAGTTTGAAGAGCCGGAAGATAATCAGCTCCAAAAAGGACCTTGGCCTTTCCACTTTTCCAAGAGCCCATTTATCCTTTGCTTCTGTGTGACACAAGCCTGTGTCTCAAACATTAATGTGCATCAGAATCACCTGCAGGGGGCCAGGCGTGGTGGCTCACACCTATAATCTCAGCACTTTGGGAGGCCAAGGCAGGTGAATCACTTGAGCCCAGGAGTTCAAGACCAGCCTGGGCAATGTGGTGAAACTCCATCTCTACTAAGATACAAAAATTATCTGGGTGTAGTGGCACATACCTGTTAATCCCAGCTACTCTGGAGGCTGAGGTGTGAGGATTGCTGGAGCCTAGGAGGTCAAGGCTGCAGTGAGCCATGAATGTGCCACTGCACTCCAGCCTGAATGACAAAGTGAGACCCTAACAAAACAAAACAAAACAAAACAAAATCACCTGCAGGGCAGACATTAGAGTATAACAATTCTATGTCAATAGGCTTGACTTTAAAAAAATCACCTGGCAAGCTTGTCCCACAGATTGCTGGGCCCCTATGGGGCCCAGAGATCCTGATTCAGTAGGTCTGGGCTGGGTAGGGGTAGCAGGCAGCCTCAGGGGAATGTGAAGCTGTCTGTCCACAGTTCACACTTGGAGGAACCCAGCTCAAAGCCCTGACAATGGACTTTCTCTAGCCACTTGGAGGTGGTGGTTTAAATGGCCATTCATGGAGCTTGTCAAAAGCCTTTTTAAACATGTACATTAAATTAGATTCACTAGCCCAGCAGTCCCCAGCCTTTCTGGCACCAGGAACTAGGTGCATGGAATTTTTCCACAGATTTGGGAGGGGTGCTGGTTTGAGGATGATTCAAGCACATTACATTTATTGTGTACTTTATTCTTATTACATTGTAATATATAATGAAATAATTATACAAGTCACCATAATGTAGAATCACTGGGATCCCTGAGCTGGTTTCTCCACACTAGACAGTCCCATTTGGGGGTCTAGTGTGACACTAGACAGTCCCATTTGGGGGTGATGGGAGACAGTAACAGATCATCAGGTATTAGATTCTCATGAGAAGCATGCAGCCTAAATCCCTCGCATGCACAGTTCACAACAGGTTTCCTGCTCCTGTGAGAATCTAATGCCCCTGCTAATCTGACAGGAGGCGGAGCTCAGGTGGTAATGTGAGCTGTGGGGAGCGGCTGTAAGTACAGATGAAGCTTTGCTGCCTTGCCCACCTGCATCGGCCTCTAGAGTCTAGCCCTTTCATCTCTCTGTATTTGCTCCTTGACAAGTTCAGTGAGCACAGGGAAGCCAGTTATGCAAAGTACAGCAGACCCTTCCTGTCTCACTTCTATATCCAGCATCCACTGTTAGCCAGCGAATGGGCCTGTTCCTCAGCCACTCAGGCCAAGCACATGCAGGTGACTGTAACCAGCGCAGGCAACTGGACCCAGCAGTCCTGCAGACTCCTGCTCAGAGGAGGGTCCAGCAGCCCCAGGTTGATATCTCCATCTGGCTTTGGGCTTCTCTGCTTGTCCTCATGTGTGAAAGACAGTAACTGTCATTAAGAGCTAAAGGGGACACTTGAACTTTTAGTTACACCTCACTGAATGCATGGGGGGATTACATACTGGAGCGGTTTTTTACCACATGTGGATATTCACTCGTATTTTGGGATTGTCAGTGATGACAATAGGAGAGCTAACAGCTGAGTGTCGTACCAGACAATCTTGAGTACAGAACCTAGCAAGCATTATGTCATTCAATGGCAGAGCCACCAAGGAGATAGGGCAGCCCCTATCTTGTAACGGCAGGACTAGGAGAGGCCAGCTGCTTCATCTAGGTGGCAGAGGCAGGACTCAAACCCATGTCTCTGACTCCAAAGCCCATGCTTTTAACCACTACACAGTGTGTCTCCTTCAATGTCAAGGATTCTGTTGTATTTTTAGCCTCTGCTTTTCCCCTGGAATTATGGGATTTCTAAAATGATGACACTTCTAGAAGCAGCTCATGAATAGAAAAATAGCAACAGGAGTTTAATGTTTAGTGATGGTCTAAAATCCTCCAAGATATGAAATGTTCTGTCCTTTCTCAGAGAGTAAGAGCTCCAGGAACATGGGTTTTTTTCCCCAAAAAAACCTAAATGGGCAAGACCCACTGTTGAAATACCCAAAATACAAGCATTAAGAGGACCTGTTGAAAGAAGCTATGGAGTCTGCATCAATGGAGCTGAAATAGCTACATACTAGGCCTCAGATTTACTTTGGACAAAATGGGAGTGGAATAAAGTAAGTCCAAAGTGCTGCCTGGTTAGCAGGTCTGTTGTACATCATGGTGCTCCTGAATTGGTTGGCTATTTTTATTCCTGTCTGAAACCCAAGGATGGAAAACCCTGAGAGGTTTGGCGACCACCCCAAGCTCTTGAGAGTCATGGTACCAGGACTCTGCCCTTTTTTCTCTGTCCCCATTATGGGAAAGAGAAAAGAATTTCCAAACGCTGACTGTGCTGCTCTCACATGGGTTTCTTACTCTAACTAATCTTTATTTTTATCATTTAATTAAGTTCCAGGGTGCGTGTTCAGGATGTGCAGGTTTGTCGCGTAGGTAAACGTGTGCCATGGTGGTTTCCTCCACCTAACAACCCATCACCTAGATATCAAGCCCAGCATGCATTAGCTCTTTTCCCTAATGCTCTCCCCCTCTCCCTCCCCCAACAGGCCCCAGTGAGTGTTGTTCCCTCCCTGTGTTCATGTGTTCTCATCGTTCAGCTCCCACTTAGGAGTGAGAACATGTGGTGTTTGGTATTATGTTCCTGTGTTAGTTTGCTGAGGATGATGGCTTCCAGCTTCATCCATGTCCCTGAAAGGACATGATCTCATTCCTTTCTATGGCTGCATAGTACTCCATGCTGTGTATGTATCACATTTTCTTTATCTAGTCATTGATGAGCATTTGGGTTGATTCTATGTGTTTGCTATTGTCAATAGGCCTGCCATGAACATACACATGCATGTATATAATAGAATGATTTATATTCCTTTGGGTATATACCCAGTAATGGGGCTTTAAGTAATCTTTATAGCCTTATCACTCCTAATCCTACCAAGAGAAGCCCTGCTACCATCTTACTGTATATTGTTCCCAGACTTCTTCATGTGTGATTTCTATTTGTGGTGGTGTTTTTTTGTTTTTTAAGGAGGATCATACTATACAAATCATACTGGAAACCCATTTACTTTACTTACAGTATATCATAAGCACCTTTTTGCATCACTATTCTGCCTCTGCATCAATATAATGGTTACAGAATGCTCCTTTGTACCTTTCTGCTGTTCTCTTGCTTTCAAAACAGATTTTTACAAAAGCTATCTAAAAAAAAAAGTCACTGTCACTTTGCAAAAGTGAAATTAGGTAGCTCTTGGGTTAAAACAGTAAAATTGTTCAGTTATCTTTGAATTGCATTAATGAGGGGAGGAATTGTTTTGCTGTCTATAAAAACAAAAAGCACACTATGCAGAGGAGCTCTAGTCCCATCCTAGGCTTCAGGAAGTGAGAGCTGAGGAGGGGGTGCCCCAGGTGGGAACCCAAAGTCCCAGCCATCACAGGCTCCACCTTCTTGACTGGTAGGGTGGGAGTTGCAGGGTGTAATGTCAACTGTTCCTGGATCTGAGCCCTGCGTCTTTCCTCTCCCCAGCAGACCCGCCCGTGGCCGCAGCAGTGGTGTCTCATTTTAATGACTGCCCAGATTCCCACACTCAGTTCTGCTTCCATGGAACCTGCAGGTTTTTGGTGCAAGAGGACAAGCCAGCTTGTGTGTAAGTATCCCTTGTTCTCCTGGAGGTCTGGGGCTGGAGTCAGTCTAATATCCGATTAGAAGAGCATTTACCTCCATAAGACTTGCCAGAGGCCCCTGAGACCCTTGGAGCCAGATGTGTCAGAGGATTAGAAGTGTGGACTGGGAGACACCTTTTTCAAAACCAGCTGGCTAAAAATCCAGGTTCCAGGGCCCCCAGCCCAAAGCCACTGAAGTAGAACCCCCCAGAAGTTCAAGTCTGGGGCTCTGCATTTGTAATAAGCATTTCAGATCGCTCATAGGTTTAGCAAAGTCTGAAAATTCTTGGATTCAAATTATTTCATGACTTAGAATTTCTGGAGCACAAGGCACTGGGATGGCTACCTTTGAGTGGCCAAATCCTCTAAGATGTGGTCTCTGCCCTCCAGCATCTTCACATTCCAGCTCATAAAACAAGCCAGAAGCACAGGTGAAGGGCTAGTGTACATAAATGTTAACAGAACCAGGAGTAGCTTACAAATAAAGATGCAGGCCATGCATGGTGGTCTCCACACCTGGCTGAGCATCATCCTCCCAGGGGGGCTTCTAAAAATATTACTGAACCCTGCTCTGACCTAGAGAATCAGAATCCCCAGGAGTGGAACCTGGGAATCACATTAGTTAAGAGCCGTGGTGATTGCCACGGTCAGCCAGGTTGGTGAAGAAAACTTCCCAAAGCCGGTGTCAGGGTTGGACTGGTTGGGAAGAGCGGAGAGTTGTTCCAGGCCTCACGTGCTCGGGGGACCTGCTGCTGCAGATCAATGTGGCTACACCAGGGAGACAGGGAGGAGACCAGATTAGAAAGAAATTGGAGGCCAGAGCCTGTTGAAAGTTGTCTTTATTCTTTAGACAATGGAAGCCACGTGAGTTTCAGAAAGACATATTCAAAGACAATTGGTCTGTCTATAATAGAATACTATTAGGTGGACCTATATTGAAACTTGGCACTATTTTATTTGGAGCTGGATAGTTCTGTTGTGGATGCTGACCTGTGTACGGAAGGATGTCAGCAGTATCCCTGGCTTCTACCTACTAGATGCCAGTAGCGTCACTGTCCCTGGCCATGACGGTCAAAAAATATCTCCAGACATTGTCAAATGCTCTCTGCGGGGCAAAATTGCCCCCAAGTTAAGAGTCGTGGATCCATATGAAATTGACATTTTTATAGGTCAAAAATGGTTTTGGATCAGCAATTTCATACTAATCGTTAATAAAAACTAGCATCTATTAAGGTTTTGGCTTCATGCCAGATACCGTTTGAAGCACAGTCCATGTGCTAACTCATTTAATCATACTGACCCCATGAAGAAGAAAGAGAGGCTATACCCAGCTTGCATAGCAGGGCTTGGATTCAAACCAGCCTCTGGCTCCTGAAGCTGAGTTCTTAGCCATGATGCTTAAAGCCATCAGATGCATCAGCCCAGGAGCCTGGGGACCAGGAGAGCCTGCTGCAGTAGGCGGTGTGGGCCGGGCTTTCCTCTGCCTGAGGTGCAGCTTTGTGAGCCTGGGCAGGCCCCTCAGGGTGCCCCTGAGCCTCACCTGGAGAGGAAGGAGGAGAAGCACACTGGCCGCCCTCCTCCTGAGAACACTGCAGGGCTAAGAAACTCCCCCAGATGACAGGCCTCGCCTCCGCACCCTGTTAATACAAAGCACGATGATGATGATGATAGACACTCATTATTCATGATTATCATTCTTATTAACAATAATTAACACACTAGAGGCCCCTGGATGGGGTTGTTTTCATAGTGGCCTGGTCATTGTGGAAAAACACTGGCCCTGAAGGAAGATTGGCCTCTTGACCCAAATATCAGGAAGCTTCCCTGTACAACAGGGAGAAGGCTCCTGCCAGCCATGTCCTGTGCTCAGCCCAGAATCAAGCATACACAGCCTCGTTCACTGTGCTGTGAGCTGAGGGAATTCTCTTTGGAGAGAAAGGACAGGCCTTTACCAAGTTCTGACCCAAAGTGAGTCAGAACCTCAGTTTTTCTTCCTCAGGTGGTCCCCACACCAGATCAGGGCTCATGCAAACTTACCAAGAGCCAGCAGCCAGGCGAGCCAAGCCACAACCATCTATGTGGCTGAGGAGCACCCCCTCTTCCACTGTGGGAAGCCTTCTGAAAGCTGGACTTGGTGGCTGCTCTCCTGTTCCCCTCTGTCCCAGACCCTGCTCTTGGCCCAAGGGGAGATATTATAATTGTCCATCATATTCACACCCTCTAACACAGTGATGAGGGTAACTGGCCATCTTTCTGCATTCACATCATACATGTTACTATTAATAATAATACCAAGTGCTCAATAAAACTGAGTTCATGGCAGGCATCGTACCCAGCACTCTGCATACCATAACCATGGTTCCTCAACACCCCTCTCAAGTAGGGATTATTACCCTTGTTGTATCAATGAGAAAGCTGGGGTTTGGAGAAGGTAAGCAACTTACCCAGAGTCCCAGAGCTAGTCACTGGCAGAGGTGGGGTTCAGTCCCATCATTCCAGCACCAGAACCCATGCCCAGAGGGTACTTGCCTCCGCTTGGCAGAATTCACCTCAAACCACTCAGCTCTTTTGTTTCCAGGAAAGGTGCTGGCATCTTCCCCTGCAAATTAACCCTCCTCCTGAGAAAGGTCAGGGTCATCCCCAAGCTCAGTCCCCTGACCACAGACTCTTAAAAAGTTTTTCCTATGGGTCAAATGCGGGGCTGCAGAGACACCTGAGACATACTTGCATCTGGAAGCTGACTGTCTTGGGGTAGGCCCATCCATGCAAGCAATTACAGCTCTTTACCTCAGTTTCTCCCTGGATCTTGATGGCCCCGGGGCAGTATTCAGTTGACAGACATGCTTTATATGGCAATAGATAACGAGCCACACTGTTCTTAGGTGGCTTTAATCTGTTGTCAGCATTTTAGAAAGTCAGATTTCACATTTCCATGCAGATGCACGGCTCCTCTTGAATAAGCAGAATGGCAACACGGGGCCTGAACTTCCAACACAGCCCCCCAGCTGGGGACTCACTCAGGTGTGCCGCCCCAGACAGGCTCGCCCTCTCCAGCCCTTCATTCTCTACCTCTCCCCGCTATGCCCAACAGCAACGTGAAACATGGGCCCCTGATCACCTGTTGCCCCTGCTGGGGCAAGAGGACCGCTGCTCTGCTTACACCAGCTCCCCTGGCTCCCTTTTCCATCTGCGGGACCCCTGGGGGCTTGCCTATGTTCAACCCCGGGACAGGGTCCTCTGCAGCTGCGACCCTCTGATGGCACTTCTTACGCCCCAATGGCTTGTAAGCTCTGGGAAGACAGGACCACACCTTATCCCTTTTTGTATTTACAGTACCCAAAAGAATGTTCTAATTAATGAATTCCCACTAGACCAGAAACTCTTGAGTGCAGGCAGAGAAAGCAGAACATTCTGTCGCTGTTTCTGTGACTCGCCCAGCCCTGGGAAGCTGACATACACATTCTGGTCAATAAAACTGACATACCCTGAGGTCAGGCCCCATCTGTCATGGCCTCATAAAGCAAACTCACAGGGAGCCAGGACTCTAGTCTCGAGAGAGAGAGCACTTTCTAAAATATCGTAAGTCTTAAATTCTGTCTTCCATATGAACAACAGTCTTTAGGTTTCCAGAGAACCTATAATGACATCTCATGCTATAAAATGAGGGAAAAAAGAAAAGTTAAAACAAATAACTAGTCAGAGACTGCCAAAGGTGGTGAAAACTACCCTTAGATGTTTATGCTTCAGGTCAACCCTAGATGGTATTTTACAGCTCCCTTTAATAAATCCCCTAGCTCCCAACCACATCAGAAAAGTAATGGGAAGAGAATTTGCAAAGACAGTAAAGCTATAGAAATGCAAGGTTAGGACTCTCAACACTTTTTCCCTGGGGCAGATTCCTCACACCATTGGTCTGCTGCCTGCAGAAGCCTTCAAACAAAGGAAAACGGTTGAAGGAAGCCACCCAGGTGACACGTTTACCCTTGGCAACCAGTTTGAAGTTTCTCACCTGTCCCAAATGATCCGTGGTGACCGAACTCCCGACAACTTTCCCACAGCAAAGTATGAAAGCAAATTCTTGTCTGCCAAGGGAAACATTCCACCTGGCCCCGGCCACAGAACATTCCAGTGGAATCCGAACAGAGTTAAACACCCAAAGAGACCTGAGCACCATCAGTGCATAGCCTGCTGCCCGTGTGACCAAGGTGGCACCTCCCAAGAGATTAGGATTGAGGGCAGATTTCTTGTTGAGCCCCCTTTTGTAGATCTAGCAGCAGGTGGTAGGGGCAGGGTTAGGAAAGATGACATCACCCCCATCCACAGGTCTGGAGAAAGTGCGGGTCCTCACTCTCTCTTCCTACTGGAAGCCAGAGTGGGGATCCCACACCAGGCAGGAGGACACCGCAGTTAAAGGCATGGATTGGAGGACAGGCAGACCCGAGGTAAAGTCCCGCTGAGTCTCTCATACAAGTGGCTTGGCCCCTTAAACCTCAGTTTCTTTGTGCACAAATGAGGATACTAATACTTCATAGAATTGTAATGGGGACCAATGATGATAATGTATATAGAGCAATTGCTGCCTATGACAAGAGCCACTGGGCTCCTGAGCAGTTAGACTACTTAATTAAAATTTAGTTCTGAGTCTCATTAGCCACACCTTAAGGAAGCAATGCCTCAGCCAGGTGTGGTGGCTCATGCCTATAATCCCACCACTTTGGGAGGCTGAGGCAGGTGGATCACCTGAGGTCAGGTGTTTGACACCAGCCTGGCCAACGTGGTAAAACCCTGTCTCTACTAAAAATACAAAAATTAGCTGGGCGTGGTGGCACACGCCTGTAATCCCAGCTACTTGGGAGGCTGAGGCAGGAGAATTGCTTGAACCCAGGAGGCAGAGGTTGCAGTGAGCCAAAATCATGCCATTCCATTCCGGCCTGGGTGACAAGAGCAAGACTCCGTCTTTAAAAAAAAAAAAAAAAAAAATGCAATACCTCAAGGTAGCTAGTAGTTACTGTATTCAATTGCCCAGATATAGACTCTGTCATGATCATGGAAAGTTCTACTGACAGCACCGGAGAACATTCAAGCTCAGGTCCCAGCACAGCATATTCTGTGTTTGCGATTGTGGCCGCCATTGGCACCATCACTGCAGCCAGTGGATGTTGCGGGGCCCTGCTGGAAGGAGTATGAAAGTGGGGCTGAGCTTACTCCAGCCCTCTCTTCCCCAGCCCCTAGAGCACAGAGGTTATAGGACTTGGTGAATCTGGTTCTTGAAAGGCGGAGAATGGGTAAGCCCAATACACGTGCCCTTGGTCCTAGTGTACCCCCCGCCTCATAGTCCTGTGGAATGTGCAGCCAGGTGGAAACCAGCACCTACCTGAGGCCAAGGAGGGAACAGCAGCTGGGTCAAGGGTGATTCATTTGCAGCCAGGTGAGGTGACTCTTCCCACTCCTTCTGTGACTTGTGCCTAAAATAATCAGCATAATTAAGTCTAATATTAGAAGCTTTGGAAGTTTTTTTTTAAGTATATCACCAAACCTTTTTCTTTTTCTGTTATAAAGAGCAACTGAGAAGCATTCCCATTATTATAATTAGGAAGAGAAAGGATCGCCCTCCCCTGCCCACTGGAAGGAATCACCTGGGAGCTTTAAAAATCTTGATGCCCAAGACTAACTCCCAGAGATTCAGATTTAGTTGATGTAAAGGTATGGCCTGGACTTCAGGATTTTTGAAAGCTCTGCAGACAATTTCAATGGGCAGCCAAGGTTGAGAAACGTTGGTTTTGCTGTTAAAAACTTCATGTTGGCTCTCAACTCTAGCTTTGTCAGAATTACCCTTTGGCCCTTTCTTTAAAATACCCAGGCCCCACTTGCAGGGAGATTTTGATCTGGGAGGTCCCAGCTGTAGGTGAGACACACTGGGCTGCTTGAGGCTAAGACATGCTGTTCTTAGGTGTCTTCCAGGTCATGACTTGGAGTCTCCACGATGAGGTGCCCCCCATGCCTCCCACCTTGAGGAAGTGTTCACATAGAAGCAGGTTGTGCTCCCTCCCTCTGCGGGCCTGGGGGTTGAGTGTTTGCAGCTATGACACTAGAGTGATAGGCATTCTGGTTGGCATGAAGACTTTCCTAAGGGGCTGGCACTTCTGCCAGGGCAGTTTTAAAGCAGAGCTGATTTGCAGGGGCCAACAAGCACAAATGGCAAATGTTCCCCTGGTAGAAAAACAAGGAAAGTCATCAAGGTGTGCCCCAACCCAGGGGGTCAGCTCCTTTGGTACGTTAAGATGGCACTGTCTGGAGACACCTTTGTACCTTGGCACACTGACCACAAGGAGACCTCTCTACAGGACAGTCAGGAGCCCATCTCCATTCGTCTGATCAGGTTTGTGTGTGTCACTAAGTCACTAGCCCAGGGTATCTTCCGACCAATTTGCATTAATCCAGACAGGTAGCCCTACTGGGTGAGATTGTTGGTTCCCAAACCTCTAGAAGCTTTTGTTTCTTCATCTGTAAAACAGGGTAAATAATAGCCATGGCCTCACCTGTCAGTTGTGATTGTTGGGATTAAAAGAGATGATTCACGTAGTTTAGCCTAGTGCTTGCAGTAAATGTTATGTGTTATAATTAGCACTTGGCTGCCACTATTTGATTTAAATGAAATTTACTGGGGTCTCCAATATTGATATGTTAAATCATAGTGTTTTTAGAGCCAAATAATAGGTGAGGTGCTAGAATCCCTCTTTCCCAGAGCCTGCTGGTTAGAGTAGAAACATTTCAAGCTGTGTGAAATTGTCATGGGTTGCTCGTCCTCCTATACCATAAACATTTCACAAAAGACTCTTCAAATCCTCATTATGCTACCCTTCCCCAGGAGAAAGAAGGACTAACCCTAACCCTAACCCTTCTACAGAGAAGTCCCATTGGCTTGGCTACAACTCCTGCTTACAAATCTGATAATCCACTCTAAAGCCTAGGCTCCCTGGCCCCATTCTGTTCAGTGGTTCACCAAAGGTTTCTGTAGAGCTAAGCCCTGCCCTGCAAGAGCAAGGAGGCTGGGGCCAGAAGTGAGGCTGGTCAGAGAAGAGCAGTCAGAAAGGTGGGCATAGTCCTGGGGGGTTCAAGGAGGAGAAGTTAGGGAGATCCAAGTGAGCTCTGGAAAAACGGTTGGATGGGTGACAAAAATGAATGTGAATGAATCTGTAAATTATATCTTTCTGGAGAATGTAGTCCTTAGAATGGAGCCTGAGGAGAGTGAGGAATGATATTCCAGGTGGAGAAGGTAGCCAGAGTTGGGATTGGCAATGGAGGGTAGTTGTTCATTCATTCTGTGGGTATGTCCTGAGTGCCCACATGCTGGGAACTGTGCTAGGTGCAGCGTGTGGATTTAACACTGGGCTGGGGGTGGGGGGTGGCAACAACTTGGATTGGCTGGTACCGGAACCTAGGTGGGTGGGAGATAAAGTAGAGGGGTGGATTCTGGCCCTGCAGGAGAGAGGACTAGCTATCACAGAGGAAACACACCACTCAGGGACCCTGTCTGGAAGGCTGGGGAGCCATCTAGGTGCAGCGTGAAAACTTGAGCTAGACAGAGGGACCCTTCGCAGGGTTTTCTTGAGACATGCATGGACGGCTTAGATTTATGCACTGCCTAAGCCTATTGCTTGTCCACTCTCTGCCTCCCCTTCATAGGAAAGGGCCAGTGCCTGCAGGGAGAGTCAGTGAAGACCTATTCCTCATACAAGACCTATTTCTTTAACATTAAAATGCTTATATTTTTATTAAGTTGGGCAAAATCTATGCTACAGGTAAATATAGCACATGTATTCTGTGGCTCCAAGCATCCGCCGATATTTGGGGTCAGCCAGCCCAGGAGCACAGGACTGGGGGAATTGCAAATGTAATACCCCTGGAACCAGCCCAGCATGACAGCAGGCACATTAGGACCTTAACCCCTCTCAGGGTGCGTGGTCTTCAAAGGCCTTCGAATCTAAAAGTGAAGGTTAGAGGCTAAGTAATCAAAACATAAACTGTTTTTAAAAGTTTCGCTGTCATTGCCATGTCTGGGGGGAAAACAAAACTAAACTTTAAATCTAGCACGTGATATGGGGTTGCTCCGCTAAGAATTCCCCAGTGGGAAGGAGGCCACCCCACGGGCAAAGGAGGTGGTAATCTTACATTTCTATTGACAATAAGAATGTTACTCCATACAAAAGGACCAGTGTCTAAGCTAATTATGTCTTATTGAGAAGCATCACATGCTTAGGGGATTAGCGGCTCAGGGGATGCCTGTAAAAGAAAATGACCATCCCATCCTTATGGCCAGGACACGTCCTGAAGCACTTTTGGGACCCACTTGTGCATAGCAGGGGGCTGTGACTGAAAGGTTAATGCTAAAGAACCTCTGAATGGCAGCAATACCAGAATTACATCACCTGGTGTTGGCGCCACACTTTCCAGGCTGCATGCACATTTGAACATGACCTTGCTTGTGCCTTTACTAAGCCCGGTGTAAAGGTGGGCCAGGTATTAAGGGACAGGAGAACACCAGGGTTCACAGGAGAGTAGTGATTTCTCCAGTCCTACCACGACCAGGTAGTGGTGCTGGGTAGCCTGGTAAATAGCTGAAGAACTAACTTAACTTGAAGAAGATAAAAAGGCAAACCACAGCCTATGCCTCCACTGGTTTCAGGCGTTTTTTCTCATCATCAGAAATTCTGAATATACACACTTGGTTTAAAAATAACCTGGATTGTTTGTGAACTGCCAGAATGAAGTCTGTGTCATGAAGACGTTTGCTGCCTTGACTCCTCCAGGATTTGTCACAGTCGCAGTAGTCACGGGTTGCTTCAGCGGTAGTTTGCATCCTCAGATAAGGACGATTAGATTCCCCTTCCTTCTCCAAGCAAGTGGTGGTGCCTGCGGCCAGAAATAGGAGGCATTTTGTTAACACCTTTGCTTCCAATTGCAAAAGCTGGCAGGGTCCCTTTGGGCTTTACCTGAAGGCTCTGGGTCCCTCCAGGCAAACCCTCCCTGGAGAGCTAGGGGAACAAAACCTGCTGTCAGGAGAGTGCACTGACCTTCCTTTCTTCCCTAGCTGCCATTCTGGGTACGTTGGTGCACGCTGTGAGCATGCGGACCTCCTGGCCGTGGTGGCCGCCAGCCAGAAGAAGCAGGCCATCACTGCCTTGGTGGTGGTCTCCATGGTGGCCCTTGCTGTCCTTATCATTACATGTGTGCTGATACAGTGAGTACTTGCTGCCCCCTAAGGTCAGATCTCCTGCACCCCTTAGAGCCTCTCCTACCAGGGACATCTGCAGTATGTCCAGATAACAAGGCCACCTCAGCACAGCTTACTGCTGTGATGTCTGAGTGGTGTCAGCAAAGCTAAATGCTACTTTGATGATGGTTGGCATGGCATGGGACATCTGAAACACATGCCCCTGGTTCTGGTAACAACGGGGCACCCCTTAGAGCCCCAGCTTGTTGACGGTAGCCACAGCCTGCTCACATCCTTCTCCTGGACCAAGGCAGCATTGAATGGTGAGGGATGAGGTCTGAGCTGGGCCGGCCTTTCCTTCCTTCCCAAGCAGTAGCCACTCTGCTTCCAGGGACTTTGTAAAACACATTTGCTGGGAGAAGACAAGCAGCTCTGGTTCAGACTGGGAACAGCCCAGGCTCTGCCACTCAGGAGGACCCTTCTTGAGGAGTCGGAGCCAGCTAATGGGCTGCCAGCCTTGCTTCTCATGGCCAGTAGCTGTGTGTGTTCCCATCCTTCCATAGTCCTGTTTCTATAGCCAGGAGACTCACAGAGACAGGAACAAGGCTGGGGGCCCACATGGGCCTTCCCAGAGAGACCTAAGAGCTAATTTTGCCAGATTCTGTGGAAACAGGAATGATCTAGATGCCTAGACAGCATCTCTCATTTCCAGGGAGGCAGCCAGTCCCAACTCTCCTGTGGAGCTTCCCAGTCTTGGTCTCCCAGCCAGAGACCAAGTTCAGAATCCATGAGCCAGAAACTATGCTCTCATTTCCTGCCAGGCTGCTGACTTCCCGGGCTTAGGGCCTTCCTGAGTGGCAGGGTCCAAGCTGGAACTGGCTTATCCCATGCTGGAGAGATCTAGAGGCCTTGATCCCATTGCCCTGGGCTGCTCCTGCCTGGGAAGTGACGAGGACAAGCCCACCTGGCTGACTGTGAGAAAGCAGGCATCGATGGATCTGGAACCAAGGCCTTCAAAGCCCCCTGGCATGGGATGCGCTGTTCCCAGCCCAGACTCTAACTCAGGAGGGCCTCAGGCGCAGGTGCACTGCTCTGGGCTCTTGGTTTTCACTTCTGACAAAAGCAGGTTGGGCAGGAAGATCTCAGGACCTCCTCCATAGCCCTGCTGTCCAAAGATTCAGGGGTTCCAGGAACCTTCCCAGCTTCTCACTGCAGGACAGTATCAAGACGGGCTGGGAGAGGAATCATGAAATGCCACCAGATACCAAGAGAGAAGCCCAGCAACAGGCTTATTTCTTCATCTCTGCCACCTGGCTCACCTTAGTCACGAAATTTCTCCTAACTCCAGCCCTTGCCCAGGGACACATAAAGTATACATGCGTTAAGGTTGGAATGAGTGAAAACGAAGGTCTCTGTGCTATCCCAAGGGAAACAGCTGGCAGTGTCTGTGGGTAACTTCTCTCTCACTCGGTGCTTTCTTTCTATTCTTCTTTTGGGGGTTTTTTTCATGTAAACTCTGAAAACTGTCCATTCCTGCTCACAGAGGAAGGCAGTAGTCTTTATAACCTGATGCCTCAGGACTCCAGGGAACCAGGTTTACAGAGAGGGTGGATGTTCCAAAACTAGAGAATATTAGTCCTGAAAGGAGGATTCAAAGCGATTGAGATCCATGACTCATTCTTCCATGTTTTTCCATGGTCAATTCAGCCATCCGAGTTCCCTGTTCTGCTACTGGCAATACCAGATGAATAACCTCCTCCTCAGCCCTCACAGCCCTGCCAGCTGGAGGTGGCCACTATTATCCCAGTCCTTTGTCCCAGTTTTGAGGCCGTTACTATACCTGTAGAGCTACTCACCTTGTTCTCTATCGAGAAAGCAGAGTGCAGGACCAGTCCCTTCTGACAGCTGGGGAAGCTGGAGCCAGGTCAGCTTGTAGAAATGGAGTGAATACTTTATGGCAGTCAACTGATGCTTTTGTTGTTGGCCAGCATCTGCCCCAAAAAAAACCACTGCCCTACCGTGCCCTCAGCCCCCTACAGTGCTGGTCCCTCGAGAAGCCCCCATGGGGAGTTGGTTTAGAGCCAGAGCCACAGGCCCATTGGGCAGATGCTGTGCCACCCTGGCTCTCCTGCCCAGACTGGGTCCGTTGTGTCTTTGCAGCTGCTGCCAGGTCCGAAAACACTGTGAGTGGTGCCGGGCCCTCATCTGCCGGCACGAGAAGCCCAGCGCCCTCCTGAAGGGAAGGACTGCTTGCTGCCACTCAGAAACAGGTAAGGAGCCTCTTCTCTGATGGGAGACACTATGGGGTGGAGAAAACAACTACCTTCTCCAAATCAGGGCAGAAGTTCCTGGACTATGGAGCAGAGAGAGGGGAGAAAAGAGAGGGACTGTTTTATTCTACCAAGCCAGGATTAGTTTATTCATAGGTGCCTTTTACTTAGTAGGGAGCCCTTATATCCTGGCTGGTGGCTGCGGGACCTTTGACAAGCTACTCAATCTCTCAGAGCCTTAGTTTGTTTTTGAGATGGAGTCTTACTCTGTTGCCCAGGCTGGAGTGCAGTGGTGCAAACTCGGCTCACTAGTTCCCAGGTTCAAGTGCTTCTCCTGCCTCAGCCTCCCAAGTAGCTGGGATTACAGGCACCTGCCACCATAGCCAGCTGATTTTTGTATTTTTAGTAGAAATGGGGTTTCACCATATTGGCCAGGCTGGTCTCGAATTCCTGACCTCAGATGACCCACCTCAACCTCCCAAAGTGCTGGTATTACATGCGTGAGCCACCATGCTCAGCCTAGCCTCAGGTTTTTTATTCTTAAAAAGATGTTGTGCAAATTGGAAGATACTGATATAAAATACCTAGTGTATCACCCAAATTGACAGCACTCAAGAGATGCTCATTCTGTTTCCCTTGAGAAAGTCACTTCTCCTTTTTCATCTGTAAAATGAGGAATTTGGCCTATGCAAGGTCTCTAAGGACCTTCCAACCCTTAGATCCTGTGAGCTTCATTAAGTTTACCTCGTTTCCTGGATATTTTCACCAACATCCATGGAGATTGACATTAGGACGTGGGCCCAGCTTGCACCTCAGGAGCCCTCCTCGGAGCATCTCTGCCTCTGGGCTCATGGAGGTAAAGAGTTGCTTCATCCAAACAAGGCCAGAAAAGCCTCACATCAGCCAGCTTTTCAGGGATGCTATTTTAACGAGAGCCCATCATAAAGTTCTTCTTGAGGACATAGTGGGTCAGGAGACAGTCATTAAAGTGAATCAACCCAGAGGTGTCCTTCCCTAGTCAACAGTTGGCATTCGGAAGCTCCAGGGTACATGGAGAGGGTAGGGAGGAAGGCTGCTGGGAGGCTGGACACACACGTGTTCATTAGAGCTCGTGGTCATCTGGAGGGAGCTGAAGGCCCAAGAACGCCATGCGTCTGTTCTTCACTTCAATAACCATAGTAATTGTGTGCAGTAAATGAGCACACAGAGACTGCTGGAGCATCACTCGGGATTTAGTGAATGCAAATCCATTCAGCCTTGCAGTGGCCTTAAGAGGAGGATGGTTCATGAGTGATGTGGGTAAACTGAGTCTGCTGACAGCCTGCTTGGACCCCACTAGGAGTCAGTGGGGGAGTGAGGATGAGAACCAGGGCCTCTAAAGCCCTGTCTCAACATCTCCTTTCAACCATCTTGGGCTAATCCATTGAGCTAATGGATTATTTTTGAGCTTATTTTTTCTTTTAACACCAATAGAAATATGTTTTTAGTCTTTTAAGAAAATTTGTAATAGATTCTGTAGCATTTGTCTGAACCTCAACCAAGTCATCCTGGGGATGGGTCAGACCTTTAGATATTGCAACTGGAGTTGAAGTCCCTCTCCCTGAGATGGTGCATATCACAACCTCATGTAGCACCAGCCAGGCCTACTGGGCCTAAAGGATGGGTGAACCAGGGGTGCTCACCTGTGAGCACCTCCAGAGGAACCGTGGCAGGGACCTAGAAAGATGTCCAGGCTAAGCCGAACTCAGGAACTGAGCCATGTTGCCTCACCAGCACAGACAGCGAGGATCCCCTCAGGGCCCAGCCGTTTTGAAAAATAAATGGGTCCAATCTTGTATGGCCTCAGGGGAAGCCTTTCTGCCACCAGAGCCCTGGACCAGAGCCACCCACCAAGCCACCCCTTACAGGGGAAGTGACCACAGGCCAGATTGAAATGAGGCCCTCACAACAGGATCCATCCCCGCCGCCCCCCCCAATCTGCCTTCCTTCTGCTACCTCTTACTTTCGATCAGTCTTTCTAGCTTCCTTTGGCACTGAAAGCACAATGTCAGAGGTTGCTGTCTCCAACACTGAACCAGCAGAATTTGGACTTGGGCCTAACTGCCTGAGAGAACTTGGTGACATTGGCAGTGCCATCTCCAAGTCTCTTTCTTAAGCTTATTTTCCCAAGGTGGCCGGGGTGTGGCTCGCAGTGCTTAACCTGTTTTTCCTTCCTGCCAGTGGTCTGAAAAGCCCAGAGGAGGAACTTGGCCAGGTGGACTGTGGCAGATCAATAAAGAAAGGCTTCTTCAGGAGAGCACCACCAAAGACGCCTGCACATGCCGCAGACCTTCCTCCTTGGCCTGCGATCACCCGCACAGCCTTTCTGTCTTTTGTGGGCCTTCAAAACTGTCAAGAACTGTCTGCTCGGGGTTATTCAGTGTGACCTAAAGAAGAAATTGGTGGACCACGATTTCAAGACTGGTTAAAAAAGAACTGTAAAGCGACAGACTCCTGCTCACCTAGGTGAGCTGTGTGCCTCAGTTGGCGTCTGAGTCCAGAGGTGTGGTTGTCTTCTGCCAGGCATGGATTCCGGGCTGCATGTTTCTTTTTAATGGCACACCTCTCCGCAACAGAATTCTGCCCAACACAGGGGATTTCTGTAGTTGTTACCATTTTCTGTCATCCGCTCACTGGGAAAGAAAGTGGAAGAGGGGAAACGACTTAATGTCACATGAAGACCCCAGCTTTAAGAGAAGCTGTACCCTGTAACCATGAGACCCTCAACCAGCCCAATATTGTCCATGGACACATGACATTGAAGACTGTCCCAAGCTATCGCCACCCTTGGAGGTGTCTTATTTATTAGACGGATAATGGTTTTATTTTTAGTCTCTTAAGTTGATGTAAAAAGCATAAAACCCCTTCAGAATTCTACAGTAATGATGTATATGTTGCTGACTGAAAAGCTGTACTGATTGACTAGAAATGTCTGGCCTCTTCGAGACAGCTGCGGCTTGGGAAAAGCCAGCCAGGGTTGGGAAGATGGAACCAGAGGCTGGGTTACTGGTAGGAACAAAGGTAGGGTTCAGAGGTGGTGCCATTTAAGCCACAAAGCCAGTAAATGTTCCCAGTACATTCTGAGAGAAAACTTAGCAAATCCCTCAGCAAGGATCTGTCCCTTCTGCTGGGGAGAGAGGAAAAGAGTATGTGCATATCTGCACGGGATAAACCCAATGCATACTGCACTGCTCAGTGATTACATGGGCTCACTTCCTAGCGAGACCTCCGAGAGAATGTTTAGAAATAAAGCATTAGCCACAAGCCGTGGGTATTTCAGGCCAAATGCATAAAAGGGGGACCAGTCGCTTATTTTCCATTTTGTTGCTTGGTTGGTTGGTTTCTTCATTTTTAAAAGGAGAAATTTAACTTTGCTATTTATTTTCAAGCACTAGGAAAACTATTGCAGTAATTGTTTTTCTTCATTTCCGTTCAGGATGCCGTTTTTATTAGCAAAAACTCTAACAAGTCATCTCCACCATGTGGGTCTTGCTTTCCACTGAAGAGAAGCAACCGTTCCCTGAGTATCTGGGTCCATCTGACTCACGGGGCCTGCCTCTGGGGAGCAGTGGGTCCCTGCAAATACACAGGGATGATCCCCGGGAATTTTTATTCAAATTTGGAAACAGAGTAACAAATAATATAAACTCCTTAGGTGAGGAAAGTCTACTAATATTTGAAAAGTGAAAGATTTCTACCTATTAACTCTTAAGTGCATCTAGCTTACTACATCATGAAAGGGACATTGAAAATATGTCAATTGGCTTGAAATTTTCAGAGAATTTTGTCCTCCCCCTAATCCTTTTTTGAGCTGGAAGAACCATTTCTATGAATTTTTTTTTTTAATAATTCAGACAATTCTATGACCTGTTTCTTCACTTTGGCACTCTTACTTAACAATGCCACACATGAAGCACTAAATGCAGACCTCAGATCTGTTCAGAGCTGGCCCCCTAGCAACGTTGTTGACACAGCTCCCGGTTTTTTAATTATTGAAGTAGGTTCAAGTTTGCATTCCTTGGGCCAGTCCTACAGCAGCAGATATGTGGGTTGAGGCTTGACTACAGCATCCTGCTTAGAGACCAATTAATGGACACTGGTTTTTAGACCCCTGTCAATCAGTAGTTAGCATCCAAGAGACTTTGCAGAGGTGTGAGAAGATGAGGCTGAACAGATGATGGAAGCAGAGGTTCCCTGCAAAAACTTGAGATTTAGTGTCTGTGAATGCTTTGTTTCCTAGGTCCAGCAAGTCACACTTGCCAGTGCCCTCATGCTTATGTCTGTAACACACATGCAAAGGCCTCCAATGTATGCCTCCCTAGAAGTGCCTTCCGAGTCAGTCTTTTGGAAACTAGTAGGTCTGAAAAAGAGGCTGCATCAAGGCAGGCCTGGTTGGACCTTCATCCATGCCCCAGGATAGGAGAGTGGCTTATTTGGTGATTTTTCTTCTAGAAATCAAATGACTGATAAGCATCGGATTCCTCTACCATTTAATGGCAGTGGGAGTCTTTGGTTAGCTATAAAAACGCTCCCTTCTCAGGTTAAAAATGCATCTTCTAATCCATCTCAGCAAGGTTCCCTGTGCTTCCTTGCCCTTTAGAAAATGAATTGTTCATTACAATTAGAGAATCATTTAACATCCTGACCTGGTTAGCTGCCACACACCTGGCAGTGGGGAGCATCACTGTTTTCAATGGCTCGGGAGACAATGAAAAGCCCCCATTTAAAAAAACATTTTTTTAAAAGGCCTCCAATATTCTTATGGAGCCTGGTTTTCCCACTGCTTTGCAGGCTGTGACTTTTTTTAAGCATCTGGCAGGAAATGTTTTCTTCCACGTGGAAAGATAGATAGCAGCCAACCCTGATCTGGAAGACAGGGTCCCAGCTGGACACACATGGAACTGAGCCAGGGATGAGCTGGCTACTGTGTCCCTGCAGGAGAGGTGGGCAGAATGGCCCTGGAGTCCTTTCTCTTGAGAAAGGAGGAAAAGGTGGGATTGACCCTCACCTACCCGCACTGGTAAGGGAAAAGAATTTATGCTTCTGGAGCTTCTCAAGGGATTGTGCTTTGCAGGTACAGAAAACTGCCTGTTATCTTCAAGCCAGGTTTTCCAGGGCACATGGGCCACCGGTTGCTCTTTCAGTCAATTTGGCAGGGATGGACTCATGAGGCTCTAACACTGCTCAGGAGACCCCTGCCCCCTAGTTCGTTCTGGGCTTTGATCTCTCCCAACCAGCCCAGCCACAGAGGGAGGAATGACTCAAATGCCCAAAACCAAGAGGATGTTGCAGAAGTAAGACAAACGTGTCTATTTTTTAACATTCTAACATAAGACCTGTTCTCTCTGGTCATCTACTTACCAGGCTTTCTGAAAGATCTAGCGGTTCACAGCAGAGAGAGAGAGCACTGAAAAAGCAACTCCTCTTCCTAGTCTTAATAATTTACTAAAATGGTCAACTTTTCATTATTATAATAAACCTGATGCTTTTTTTTAGAACTCCTTACTCTGACTTCTGTATATGTTGCACTGAAAAGGTTAATATTTAATGTTTTAATTTATTTTGTGTGGTAAGTTAATTTTGATTTCTGTAATGTGCTAATATGATTAGCAGTTCTTTTCCTTAATATCTGAATTATAAAGAGTAGTGAGCAATATAAGATGCAGCTGTGTTTTTCAGTAATGTGCATTGTTATTCAGTTGTACTGTACCTTACTTGGAAGGATGAAGGAATGAATCTTTTTTTCCTAAATCAAGACTGGAGTGTTTCTTTAATGAGATTCAGATATTGCTGAAGGAAACAAAGACTTTTCCCTGCAAATGTGAATGATGAGAAAAATTAGATGATCTTTTGCAAAGTGTGGAAGTCCTATAATTAACCATAGTTGATCCCTGTCTCCTGAAGAATTCAAGATCTCTGAAGCTTTTCCCAATATATAAGGCCGATACTTAGGGCCAAGTGTGGTGGCTCACGCCTGTAGTCCCAGCACTTTGGGAAGCTGAGGCAGGCGGATCATGAGGTCAGGAGATAGAGACCATCCTGGCCAACATGATGAAACACCATCTCTACTAAAATACAAATAATAATAATAATAATAAGCCAGGTATGGTGGAGGCTGAGGCAAGGGAATCACTTGAACCTGGGAGGCAGAGAGGTTGCAGTGAGCACTGCACCACTGCACTCCAGCTTGACAACAGAGCAAGACTCCGTCTCAAAAAAAAAAAGTACTTAGACTATGTGTCCAATAATGCTAATTGATGTGGAAAATATATACAGTCTCTGCCACTGCAGGAATTGAAATCTGGTCAAGACGACAGACTGATATGCTGAAAATAATTCTGAACTATTTCTAGACAATATAAGTAGGCCATGAAATTACAAAGTGGAGAGTATATGGTACCAGCTGTGGTTCTCAAAGCATGGTCCCAGACCTGCAGCAGTGGTATAACCTGTGAACTTGTTAGGAATGCAAATCTTTGGGCTCCAGCCCAGACCTACTCTACTGTAGGGGTGCTCCATGCTCTCTCTGCACTCTGGGTAATTCTAATACATGCTCAAAATTTTTACGCATTTTTTAAATTTTGTAGAAAGACAGGGTCTCCCTATGTTGTCCAGGCCAGTTTCAAACTCCTGGGCTCAAGTGATCCTCCACCTTGGCCTCAGTTCTGAGATCATAGGCGTGAGCCACTGCACTTGGCTGATGCTCAAATTTGAGAACCGCTGCACTATAGGACTCAGTGAAGGGACAACTTAGTGTTGAGCTACAGATTTATGGGAGAGCATTGAAAAGGTTTTGCAGAAGAAGAGAAACAACATGATTTACCTCCTGGAGTTCAAATGGCCTTGAATGAAGGGCTGCATTTATTTGGGTCTTCTCTGCTTAGCCTAGTTGAAAAAAAAAATAGATCAGTCCATCTCCCACCATACCCCCAACCACCCCGGGCTCACCTGCCCCCGTTCCCCACCATCCAGTCCCTAATTATAAGGAAGTGTTCTAAAACTGTCAACCAGGTCTTACAAGCCCATAGTAAGGCCTCTGCACTTCTAACCCAAGTGTGGGATTCACATGTGCAACATATAAAGAGCTCATGGAGAAGTGGAGGGTGAACTCGTTGCAGCATAGTATAAAATCCTGGTCCCCAAAGAAGTTTCTGCTCTTTGTAGGGAGGGAGCGAGCATGTGGAACTTGCTGTCCAGACCCCAGAGGGCTTAGGATTGGCCTAATTTACAGAAAGATGGAAACTCAAGCAATTCTTCATCCCAAGCTCCCTGGCCTGGCATCTGGCCCTCAATAAAGTCTTTCCCCACCTCTTAAGAGAGAGTGGGGAGACTCGCTACCCATACCTGGTCTTCCTCCTCATGACCCTAATTCAGTCTTCAGGGACATCTCCAGGCCTTCCTCTTAACCAGTGGGATTTTTCACTAGTCCCCATTTTTTTCTCCTCCTTCCCAATTTCTAAGCCATCCACCTACCAAGGCTGCCTGCCTGCCAGAACCAAGGTCCGGTGACTGCCCCTTGTCCTGGTCAGGTGCACTGGACTGTCTGTGGTAGGGAGGACCCATCCCAGGAAAAGCACCAATCAACTTTGAATCAAGCCAGACCTTTCCGCATCCAGGTGACTTGAAGTTGACAACTTGAAAGCCATGTTCTGGATACTTTGGGTCCAACCTTTTTGGATCCTCTTGGCCCAAACTTCAGACCATTTTTCCTGGTTGCCCTGACTTACGCCTGGCTCTGTTTAGAGACATTTGAGTATAACCCTTGCCTTGCTTCCTCTCTAGCTCAGAGCTTCACTACCAGCACTTTTTCCCCGTCTCCTGAAACCCCTCTTCCGCAACTGCTTTCTGCAGGACTTGCTACTTCCGGCAGACTCTGAGGTTTCTGCCACAGCCCTTCACCTCCAGAAGTCAAAAGTGAATTGCCCATAGTCACAGAAGCTGTCTAGCAACGCCTATTTCATAGGGTGGTGTCTGTCACCCAAAATCAATAAGGAATTTGAATATATGGGGACAAACCTTAGGCATCACTTAAAAATCTCTCCAGGTGATTCCAATCCAAACCTTATTCCCCTCTGAAATACATCAGGCCCCAGGGAGCAGATGGCATGGGAGAAGAGTGATGCCTGGAGCTAGGAGTACCTGGTGCTCATGCAGGGCACCCCACCCTGGCCCATCCTCAAGGAGATTGCTTAATATCCAGCGGATGTTCACCGCTGGGAGACAGAGGCTTGGGCCTCCTCTCAAGAGGGATCACCTAAGGCAGAGAAGTGAAAAATCTCCCGTGGGAACTCCTGTAAGGAGTGCCTTACGGCTGGTGCTTGAGGTTATAGGTCATGCACAAGTGGGAAGTGGCTTTTTTTTGTTTTGTTCTGAGACAGGGTCTCACTCTGTCACCTAGGCTGGAGCACAGTGGCACGATCCCAGCTCACTGCAACCTCTGCCTCCCAGGTTCAAGCAATTCTCCCACCTCAGCCTCCTGAGTAGCTGGGACTACAGGTGCCAACCACCACACCTGGCTAGTTTTTGTATTTTTAGTAGAGACGGGGTCTCACCCTGTTGGCCAGGCTGGTCTCTAACTCCTGATCTTAAGTGACCCAACTGCCTTGGCCTCCCAAGGCAGTGGCTTCTTAGAAGCCAAATTTTACATTTGGGAATAAAAGAAAGTTGGGCATTTATGCTGAAAGGGAAGGAGAGAAGGTGGGAAGGGGAGACCACTTTCCAGGACCTCCATCCCAAGACCTGCAGGGGAGCCCGCTAGAAGGGAGGTGAAATTGAGAGCTGGGCAGGAGGATATCTCCACTAACCTGGGGCTGGGCCTTCAGCTGCTGGTCCTGCGCATGGCAGGAAGGGATTCTGGACATGTGATATCCCAGGAGAACTGGGCTGTGAGGAGCCAGCATCACTTAAACCCTGTCCTACCAGATTAGAGCAAACAGCCACGCCCCTCCCCGGCAGCATGACACTCCCACTGGCCCTTGTGAAAGGAGCCCCCTAACCAGAGTACAGAGGTCCAGAGCCCCTGTGGTGGGAGGAGGCTTGGAGGCAAAGGCCCTGGGTTTCACTACAGCCCTGCTTCTTGCTGGCTATGTCACCCTGGGGTGTTACTGGTTCCCTCTGAGCCTCCTGTGACTGTCTGATTAATTCTCACCGATTTAGCCCAGAGTTGTGAGCTAAATCTCATAAGCATAGCCTGATTCTTAGAATAAAAAAATCTGGTGTGATCCTAAATGCTATCAATATGTTGTCCAGCTCGAGGGAGACCCCACTCCCCATGTCCCCCAAAGACCTTCAATTCAAGGTAAAAGAAGCTGGGAGGTGGGGGGTGCTCATGAGAAATATTGTCATACATCCAGTGACAAATGGGACCACACTCAGGGGGTGAGGATATCAGGACATCACTTTTAGAAGTGGGGGTGACTGTCTTCAGACATAATGAGGTTTGGTCTGTCCTCAAGGGGCAGGGCCAGGAGACAGGTCAATTTTGTTTCAGTAGAAGCTCCTTTTTCATTGTCAGAGCCACCTGCTGGCTCTGGCTGTCCTCTGGGCAACTGTGCCTGCTAACTCCAAAGCGATCACAGAGAAGTGGGTGCCAGCCAGGGCAGAGAGGATCCCTTGGTGGGCTAGAGCATGAGCCCGAAAACCTGGGCATCTGACCATGGTCCCCTACCTCTGAGTCCATGGATTACCCATATTTAGCTCCAAGCCTCCACCTCCCACTGCACCCTTCTAGAATAATCTTTGTGAGCCCAGACTTAAGGCTCTGTCCTCCCAGGGCTTCTCAGTGACGGAGGGGGATCTCAGGCCCTGCTCAATCCACTTGCCCCTTCAGTCCGGGGGAGGTAATGCCTTCCCATAGTTGCCAGTTTAACTCTGCCAATCTTCCCCTACTCTCTCTATAGTACCCAACGATGCTTACCCAGAGGCTGAAACGTCAAACGCCTCCTGGAGTGGAGCAGGCCATCTGAATTAGTGCAGCTGCTTGATGAAAGCATGAATGGCCACGAGTGTGTCTGACTCCAGGGCTACACTGAGCCCTGCTGAAGGGGGAGGTCACTTCTCAATCCTAGTCTAGAGTGAATCTCCAGCAGGGAGGTCAGTTTTGCTATTTTTTTTCCCCGTGAGAAACAGAAAATCTGGATCTTTTCATAAAATGTCTCCATTCCTAAGGGTGAAGTTTAGAAACCACTCTGCGGCCGCAGCACAATCTGTCAGAGGCCACCGTTCATTAGCAGCCACTCTTAAGCTGTCTGCCTGTCTCAGGCTCTGCTAGGCCCCTCACACCTCTCTACCTTCATAGTTCTCTTTGCTGGAACAGACTTTATCTATGTCTTTGCCAAGAGCAGGTTCACACACACCTCACCTTCTTCTGAAGCCTTCCTGGAGCATGAAAACAAAACGCCCCCACCCCAAGACCCCTTGCATACTTGTGTTAGAATACACATCTCCTGCTGCTAGACTTCTCGTCACTCCTCTGTGAGCTATATTGTGCCTCTGGCCATTCTGTGCCCCAGGTCTTGAACTCTTAGAGGTAAGGAATCTCTGGGGATCTTCACAGCCCTAGCACTCAGTGCAATGCCTGAGGCATGGTAGGTAACATGGTAACATTCTGTGGAAAAAATCATCAGAGACGTGAGGCCTGATGGACCATCATAGGCCTCTGGAGGCAGGAGAGCAATGTCATATGCGATTCCTGGGTCTTGTGGGGCTGCATTATTGGTAGGTTGTGTTGGCTGCTACAGTTGGACCCCTCG